AATGTTTATTATAAATTTGTATTATGTATTCAATGTATTTTACTATATTACTCAGTAGTATGTACACCTTATAATAATATACGAATAGATCGGGTTTACATATAGAGTAATATTTTAGTAGTGACCGGTTTAATACTCGTCAGTGATGTATTATACCTATAGTTAGTATGAAAATAGTGATATATTAATATCCTTCATTAATACACCTAAACATATTATGAAGATGTGAACCACTATTGAATATATGTAACGATATTATAGTAATAATCATGTATTTATATTATATAAATTATAAAATTGTATTTATTACATCTCAATCTCAATGCATTTCCGATATTAGAGGCGCTTTCTATCTTTCAACTATCGATGTACAAGTCCTATAATACAACTGATACAAGTTTTTAAGTTTTTTTTTGAAATAAATAATTTATAGGTATATTTAATTTAAAACAATTTATAGTTTAATATTAAGAACCAGAATATTGTTTTGAAAATATTCATAAAACATTGAAGAAGTATTATTCCAATCAAATCTCAAATATGCTTAAGTATTTTATTCAYTCTGCATATTRAATTATTGAATAATATGTAGAGTGAATAAAAAAGACGTATCCCGCATCATCATTGTGCAATCCATTAATGTGCTTATATTATATTATAAATTATAAAATTGGTATTAAAGGTACCTTTCTATGAGCCAAATTTGAACAAATATTTTAAATGAAATATATACATTTTGATATAGTTAGGTAGGTATTTTATTTAAACAACTACCTAACTTCTGCTGTGAATTAGATTTTGCAAGTTGTTTGTTGAGTCTAGATATTTTTAAAATCRCAATGTGCACGGAAAAATAAAAATCAACGTATATGTCAAAAGTTTCAWATTTCAACGTTTAATAATCTGTAAATTACCTACATGTCTGTATGACTGTATAGAAATCATAGATTTTGAATGTACTTCATCATTCAATAAATTATCGGAATAAATTTATTGAAATCTAATAAAAATTAAAAGTAGACGGTTTTGAAAAAATATTCATTATTGAAAAGTAATAATATCTAAAAACAATTATATTATAATAAACAGTTCATTCATTCCTATTATTTGTATTAGATTTTTTTACTATTGTTTTATTTAAAAAAAATAAAATTTCTATTATTTTTTTTACCAAACAGAATTTAATAATTTTTTAATTCTAGGAGAATAAATAATCAGCACGAAACGACAACAACTGATATCACGAATTCATTATTTATATAATTATTTTCAGTCTCACATACTTTAAATATTTTATATTTTTAATTAATCAATATTTCAATCATGTACTATTTATTTCGTGCTGTATTAGAATAATATTAACAATAGCATAATAATTATATCAAATTTTTATATTATATTTTAGATGTTACCTATGGTTTTGTTTAAGCATTGAGTTTATATAAGTAATCCAATCATATTACTTTACTCTCTTTATATGTAAATATACGTATATAWTTTTTATAGTTTTCCAAATCCATAATTAGTGTTTACATGAATGAGTTTCTGTGACAACCTTTGATAMATGACGTATATTTCTATGATGTTTGCCAAAGATTATTTTACTTGGACGTTTTCAATGATTACTTTCTCAAATAATGAAAATATATTGAAGTTTCTTGTGCATAAAAAAAAAAAAACTTAAATGTTATACCATTATACCAATATTGGCCAGAGTTGAGAGCATCAATTAAGTATAATATGATTACTTAATTTATTATGTATCGAGAAAACAGAAACTAGTGAGAATATTTTTTTTTCCTAACTTCACATTATCAGGAAATCAAATTTGTTTACGGGTAATACATTTTATAGCATTATAAAAATATATTTATTCAAGTTATTTTAAATTGAAATATTAAAGTACCTACCACATATTTTTTTCTCGGATACAACTATATATTAATTTACATGGGTACACATTTTAGATTCTATTTTCAATAATTTTATTTTATTTTAAATCTATAATTTCATTTAAATGTCATCAGAAAGTTTTAAAATTTGCTACTTATATTAAATTTGAGTTAATTACGACTAAATAGGAAATAAAATATTCTAAAGAATCTAATCTGGCCTAGTTTATCTAATCGAAGTTTTAAAATTTTCTTTGATATTTATTTATTAGAAATACCATGTATCCCAAGAAGTAGGATACACTTTATCACTATCATTACCCTGTAAATCTTTCGATTATGTTTGCGTAATATAAGCTAGACTAATCGATCAAAAATTCTTATGACCTAAAAATTTTTTAAACAATCAAAATGTCTTGAAAAAATCGATCAATTCATAAATAATGTTTTAAATAGTGGTTGCCATTTAAAAGAAATTAAGTTTTGTTACG